TATTCCCCGTAACGTTCATGATCCTAATTACCGTTTGACGTAATCGTTTTTGATTAGAAACAATATTACATCTGCAAAAACACCGACTAATATCGCACGTGTAACATTTAATGTTGAATTATGACCAATTGGAATCTGTCAAATGGGAGAAGCGTAAATAACATGGCGGTGATAAAGGCAATTTTTTCATGGTCCCTATAGCGAACCGTGCAATTATAGATTTTTGAAAACGATATTGGGATTGGTAGAATACGTGACTGGTGCAACACCAAACCTCGAAAATGGGGTTTTATTAAAGGTGAACGAGTTTGTAAAGCCCGTCATATTAAATTTGGGAAATTTGCTGTGAATTTTAGTAAACATGTTTACAAACATCAGATTTACAAAATTATCCACCTGAAATACATGATGGCTGTACTATAATGGTGACAAGCAAAGTCGGTTTAAGCGAAGGCTGCAAATGTATTACAACAGTTATAACAACATTAAAAATAGGTTAATAATTTCAGAATAGTTGTATTGTAAATTGTATTAAGTATTACTGTTAAATTAATTCATATATTTTCATTAAATACTGAATCGATTTGATTATTTATAAATTTGAAAAATTTGATTTTATGACACATTACGTTTTTTGTGTACCCTCTCAAAAGTTTCAGAGGTGATCTACGTTCTAAAGCGTGATCGACATCCCTTTAAATCAATAATAAATAAGAAAAAAATCACCGTAATCTAAATTTGTCTTTCCGGGGGGTCACCCATATTGAAATCCTCTTCCTTCAGTTATAAATATATGACTCGATTCTGACTAATTGGAGCAAGCTGAATTTGAATATTACATTCATTTTAATATAATTTCAACATTCCTTACTAAAAAACATTATCCTTTTCGAATATTTTTATTTTCAGTCCATTCTTTTATACTTTCAATTCTGAACCATCAAAATCGTTCAAGAATTAGCAATTGGTCCACTTTGACTCCACCTGACGCAGATTACAAGCTATGCAATCGAAACACGTCCCATTGAAACACCAAAAAACAAAAATTTTTGGGTGGTTCATTCCCACCAGCCAGGACTACGCCGGAAGGTAGGGTGGAAGGCCCTCTTCAGCCTGCTTTCAGGAATCGTGGGAATGGGTGGGTGGTGGTTCGGGTGAGAAAGATGAGACGGACGAAATGAAGACAGAAGAGAATGAAAGATTATCTGTGGAATATTACTGCCTCAGCATTTGCCTAGGTGATCCAAGGAAACCACAGAAAAACTTGTACCAAGCAGACGGACCTGGAATCGAACCGGCGTCCTCCCGAATGCTAAGCAATGGTCTAAACCTCTAGGCCATGCCGCTCGGTCATTGAAACGCCACTCAGGGCCCCCTTTTATTAATTTCTGCAATAATCTCAGCCCCCTCTCCTCAACCCCCTCTCACATCAAGAAGAACAAGAACAAATTTGCAGTGATTTTCCTTCTTTAAAATTAACGTTCGAACTTTACACTGTCATGTTAACGACCTCGTTTTGTTCCTTTAACGTCGTTGGGTACTGCAATTATTGGGGGTTACTCATTTAGACATTTTACACTACACTTAAATTTTTGAACATTTATTGCCTAATAAAATCTATTTGTAGTGTATGGACAAGTTAATGCGGAATTAGAGTAAAACAGATGTCCATTGGAAATTCTGAAGTGCTAAGGCAGGCCACGAATTGATGTGCAAACTGAAACGGGTGTGAAAAGTAGTTTCTTTGGCACAATTCCAAGAAACATTTGTTAAAAGAAATAAATCAGATATCTTTACAGACAGAAAATTAAACATTACAGAAATTCCAGGCTGCTCGTTCTGAATTTTTGGCACAGTGCTAATTTTAGTCGCAATTAGACCGGATATTGATATTTTGTCAATTTTTAGATGAGATTTATGGAGAAACGGGTTTAACAATTTTTCTATTTAATCGGTTTTTCAAATCCTATGTATAAGTATACCATAAAAGTACACATACATTTACTACATAATTTCCTAAAACTTTATTCTAATCATTAAAGTTTTGCTGACTTTGTAAAACAGGGAATTTGTATATATTATAAAAGTTCTTTGTAAAATAAAAACGTATTGCATTTTTATGCTTTCAAAATTGTATTTTAAGGGTTCTTGAGGCATTCGCAATCTTGAATTCCTGTGTATCTTCTGGAAGCAGACATTTTTGAAACAACAAAGTAATCCAACCTATCAAGATTCATGCGTAAAAAGTTTAAAAAATCTCCTAGTGTGATGTGAAACAAGTTTCAAATAGTGCTCAGGACCTTCATAAACTTTACACGTTTATTTACTCAATATTTCTTCAATATTTTGGAATCATTCTTTCTTTGGCGTTAAATAATAAACAATAAAAACGTTGATGATTGGAAGTAAATTAACCTTTCGGCTAAAATAGCCATTCGTAATACAACATTCATTGATGTAAAGAGCGTAACTTTAAACAAACAAATTCATACGTATACACAGAGGAATCATTTTTTGATGGATTCAATATCTTTCAGTTAAATTGAAACCGATGAAAAAATTTTGATGGCTTTTTAAACAAAATCACTAAATCATTATCTTTAATACATTACAATTTACTGGCGCTTTTAGTATTGCCTTTGTAACTTTATTTAATAACATTATATATACATATGTATAAACCCCTTGCGTCATAACAAAATTGAGTGTACGAGTAGGTACTATTTCTAAGAGATTTTGGGGTTGTTTTCCTGAGGAACATAAAATTTTCGTGGAAACTTGAAAACGGAGGTGTTATTATAAACAATTTGTTTTGAATGAGTTTTATTCAAACTAAATGAATAAAAGTAATAAATGTTTGTCCCCCTCAAGGAAATTGCTTGCTCCGGGAGTCCTTTTGAATAACACAGAGTCAATTGACGCTGCTTGGTACTTCTGATATTAAAGCAGAAAGAATCTCCAGAAAAATATATTTAAATCTTTTTTTAGTAGAATTTTAATCTTCGTGTAGCACATTTACCTGCAAAGTGCATATACATATATAATAACTACCGCAAAATTTGAACTTTGTAAAGGTTTCAGTATTCATCCCAATTTTATATTGCAGTTTTGCTCGCGTTAAACGAGCCAGTGAAAAAATCCAGGAAGTTTCATATTTCGCAGTAGCTACCGTTCACCGTAATTACCGGCCAGAATTAGCATCTTCCGCAATTAATCTAGCAATGTATAGAGTAGATAAAATGAAGCTCACTTATGTCTCAATTCGCCTTTTTATGACCATAATATACTCGATGAAAACATTCGTTACGATCGTACGAATACAGAAGTTTCAAGTTGAACTTCAAGTCTTGAAGTGATCAAAATCGTTTTGTACACATACGATATCTTGTGAGAAGCAAAATATACCGTATGCGAAAGCGCAGATCTTTATAGTGAGTTATAATATGTTATTCTTATCAAAATCCGGAAGGACGGAACGCTGACGCCGACTGATAGCTGTTGGAAGTTGCTGCAACTACGTACGAAAATACATTTCTGCGAAGCGGCAATTCACATGGAGTACACATTAGGATCGAATCTTTTGCATACGGTATAAGTTTTATTACATTGAGGAAATACTAAAAGAAGTAATTACACGCATTTGCTACACTCAACATTGATAAGGCTTTAGATAGAACAACGTACCTGAATGACATTCAGGATTTTGGGTCAACCTCCTTCCTGTCTATTACTGACGTTTCATCTTAGGTTAGCTTGAGCATATTCAGGATGCCTCCGATGGAAATAGAATCCTTAACTAAAACAGAAAAACTTTATAAATTTAAAATCGAAACTTAAACAATTATCTAGTCGATGTGATCGATATGATCGGTAAAAATCGACGAATTACTCTGAAATTACTTTATTAATGACAACAATGTTTATGTATCACTTAATACTTTCATAATTTAAAGAATTTCACGAAAAATCATCTTTTGTTTTTGGCAAGCTGAATCCATTCTATTTAAGTTATTACCTCCAATTAGGAGTTATATTAATGCATGGATTCATGTATGAGCAATTTACTTATCATCTTCATTTTACAGTTTTTTGTTTGACTGGAATTTTCTCTTTTTGAATCAAATAAATTTCAATTGACACTAACATAAAGGATGGTTCGAACCGGCTGTTGCCGATAGCCATGATAAAAAAGAAAGAAAACCGAATTCAGCACTAATACTCGGAGTTTGACTAGAAATGTTGCATACCAAAGCTTATATAAACGAAAAACGAATTACGAAAAAATAAAAAACGAATTACAAAAAGACGAAAACCCGAAAATTTTGTCCACAAAGCAATTAATAAATAATTATAAGGGAAATGGTATTTTTTGCATGACACAACAAAGTAGGTAATGACTTTCAGGAATTATATGATGATTTATAAATGTGAATTTCCGGCATGATTGATCAAACCAAACCCATTAACCCAAAGGGGTATTACTTTCGTCGAAAATTTTTGATTAAATAGGGATGACATACCTATCGCAAAATTGAGCTCATAATAATGGAATTTTCTAATCAATCCAATCAATCTTCGGTTAAAGAGCTTACGTAAATCTCGAGGGAAATCGCCAGCAGTTTTCTAGATAAGTTTGTAGTATGTATTTGTTGTCATTTTCATGTGTTGAGGACACACACTCATCATGTCCGATATGAAGACATGCCTAACGATGACAACTCGTTATTTCTGTTTACTTGATTGTTATTGTCTGAGATGGTAGTCTAATACAATTTGTTTGTTATTTGCGTCTATTCTTGAGAAAAAACAGTTCGCGTTTAGTGCGAAGTTGTGGGTTGAATGTACTGCTGAACTGGAGCTTTTCTCGTTTAAATTTTTGTTTTTCAAATTAATTTGAGAACCATGATGGAAACAAATTTGTCAATTTTCGGTAGGATAGAGAAACTGTCTGTTTTTTATGAGTGTTGTTAATTTTAAATTTCCTTTTTCCTGCTCGACAGAGACACAGCATACACGGTATGATGGAGGAAGAAAACGTGATAAGGCCCCATCAGGAAATGGCTCAGTTATCTCTAGATGAGAAGAAGTTCCTTTTAGCAGTAGAACGTGGTGATGTTGCCTCCACAAGGCGGTGAGTACAGTAATTAAATTTATGTACTTAACTATACGTATTAATAAATGTACGTCACATCACTTGCCGACACTGACATATTTTCTTTTATTTTCACAAGTTTATTATCACAATATTAGTTTTGGAAAAGAAATGTAGTTTAGAGATTAACTTCAATGGAATTAGTCCAAACTACAAAATTGTCCAGTCTTCAAAAATGCGCCCGAAAATCATTCAATTTTCATCGACTTCCATAACATCAAGCGTTTATCTTATAAATGGTAGTTTTTTTCTTAAAAATTGACTAAAACACTTTTGTTTATGACACACATATAAGGATGAAATTCGTTCTTATATGATGTCCTGAGAGTGCGGCAACAAGTATTTTTTAAAATAGCCAATAATTTAATATGGAAATTGTAAGTATTCCGCCTACCTAATGTCATACATACGTACAATATTATTATTTGAGTCCAGAGGGGCATCATTAAAGCCTTATTTTCACCCCACCCCATCAGGTACTGACATTACTCGTGGAGCTGGCATGTGCTGGTATAAGCACATAAGTATAAGTAATATTAATTGTAGTTTTTTTCCCTTATAAATATATTTTGTTGTCAGGCATACAGTCTATTTTCAGGAAATATAAACAAAACATAAATTGTATTTTTCGTTATTTTGGAGCCAAAATGAAGCCTATCGATACCCATTCTTTGAATTGTATTTCTGTTTCAACGGCTAATTTCAACATTGTAATTGATCAACATTTTCATGGGAAAAAGTAGAACTCCTGACGGTACAGTACAATTCCATATAAAAAATATTTTGTATTTTGACGTTCTATCTAGTTCTGTTTTCATTGCACCGTAAAACAACAATGTAAAAGACTGACTCGAACATAAAATTCACTTTTCATATTTACAAATGCATAAAATTTCCAATAAACCTACAACGCATTCATTGAATGATTTTGAAAAGTACGGAAATATTTTTTTGTTATTTTTTAAATTCAAAATACACGTCTAGTCTGTTGAAATTAAGTTTTTGGTTTACATTTTCGAAAATTGAACTGCAAACCATCAATGTAATCTCGTTTGTGCACTTCTACGTCTAACGCAATTGACGTGGAATGTATGAGGCACCATTGTTTGAAGGAGTAGACGGTAAACAAGTAAAGAAAAGCAGGAAGTTGTTGTCTTCTAGGAAAATCTTCCAAGTCTTACATGTCACGGACTCCATAGAGATAAATGTGAAAACGGCGCATTTTATCTTTTAGACAAGAAACGATTTCAATTTATTTTGTTCGCCGTTTTTGTTAATTAAAATCAGAAGTAACTAATATCAAACTTCTTGAGTTGAAATATCCAAAAATGCATTCATTACTTTTTCTCACTAGTTCACACAATTTTCATGAGCTTTAATAACAGCACTACAAGTTAGTGAATATTATTTGCGAACCAATTAGTTAATTGAAAAAACTATTTAAGGTTAGTAAAAATTAATATAAAAGCATTCTACTAATTAGTCTAATTAACCAATACCTTCTAAAAAAGCTAAATAAATAAATAAAAATTCAAATCAAATGTACATTAAAAAAATGCCCCTTATAAGACCGAGATAAAAATGTTCAGTCTCTCAGAGTCTCTTAAGGCGAGACTCGAGTTTCCGTCTCTCATTGAGTATCTCTAGTGGCGCTGAACGAGAGACTCCAGTTGCTCATAAAGAGATCCTCATTTCGTATCCAGTCTCTGAACGAGAGACTCGAATCTTTGAACGAGAGACTCGAATCTCTCAGTAAGTGGCGTCTCGATAGACATGGTTAAAATTTTCAACATATTTCAGAGATCCCAGTCTTTCTACGAGAGACTCGTCTCTCAATTTTTTAGTTTTATTCATTCAGTCTCTCTGTGAGAGACTCGAATCTCTGAATTAACAATTTTATCGTTCGAGTCTCTCATACAGAGACTGCGAGAGATCTATAAAAACACCTAGGCAATAACTGAGAGACTGTGAAAGACTGTGAGAGACGCTCTCAGAGACGCTCTCAGAGACGCTAAAAAACTCTGAGAGACTGAAAATTTTTGTCTAGGGAAATTTTTAGTAATAATAATTGGTATCTATATATAAATTGAGTAAAAGAATCTTAACTATTATTAAACGATTTTTTACAACAAAAAAAGTTGGTACATACTAATAGTGTAAAAAAATCGGCCGTAGATTTATTTCGAAAATCCAATTCATTTATTGTCATATTTAATTGATCAATTAATTTATTGGGTTGTTGACGTATTAAAACCTTTATCTATCCTGTTATTTTAATCCTGTTATTTTAATAGATTTATGTTTGTGCTTAAATTAAAAATTTATGCTGTCCTTATTATTGATTCTTGCCATTAACTGTGCAGCCCGTTCCAGAACTTTTTTAAATTGCGGTACTGCGGTTGAATTTTGGAGCAGATCTCAGAAATTCTTAGAAGAAAGAGCACGGAGTGCATCAGACTCGTCAGCGTTAGTCCGTAGGTACCTACGATATACTCGCTGGCGTCTATTGATTTTCAAAAAGGATTTGACACCCGGGCTTAAGTCTATCTGGATAAATGATGCACTCGCCTCTTCTTGATCGTATGCGCATATTGATGATCTTTTCAGTGACAAAGTTTACAATATCAGAGAAAAAGAAAACCCGCAAACTACAATGTTTTAAAGTAATTTAATGAAAGTTACTAATTAATTTAACCGTAAAATGTGAAAAAAATAAGACATTGTAACTGTTCTTAAATTTAAGTAGCCATAAAGAGATACATATACATGATAAATGTTGAACTATTTGCAAGATTGTTAATTTTCTACAGTTTTTAAATGTGTAATATATAATTTTACTTTGAATTAATTTCCTCCACAATAACTATAAAATCATATATATAGTAATTAATAACAATAGTATATATGTATAATGTACTATATTCCTTATTATTGTTTGTAATTTGCATGAATGAAAGCTGCCTATCGACCTTTGTATTTACCATTAACTTCACAAGATTAGCTAGATTAAATGCGGCTTCTCAGCTAAGTAGAGTGTTATCTCCAAAAGTATATACCTACATTTCAGCAACATCATTATCATTAAGGGCAGTGAGATATCATAATGATCTTTCTTAAAACAGTTTAAGTCTTAATATTTTGACTGAATTTTCACTATTGTGAAGAAGAACTTTGAAGAGGTTTAATGAACCAGAGTTAGAATCAGAGCCGGCCTCAGGATTAGTGTCAAAAACGAACTATAAATTTCATAATTATGTTTAAAAATTTTATCGAAAGAAAATTCATTTCTTATTAGTGATGTCTGCAAAGCATCCCGAGTAGCGTCGCGTTCAGATTTTAGATAAAGGCGTAGGTTTAGAGAAAAATTATTTTTTTTCTGTAAAACTGGATTGTAATGAAAGTGTTCTGAAACATTAGGTGGTTTAAATAAGAAATTAGATAGTTTACAATTTCGTCTGGGATGCACTTGATATATCTACCCTGATGGTGCCACTGAATTTGTTTTGATGCCCTATAAAAGAGGATTAAGTATTCACGGTTTTTTAATCTACATTGAAACAGCTCGTAAAAATTTATTACCCATATACTCAAAAGCGTTTTGTACGAAAAAAAAAACATCAACCGACTTTTATTTGAATTAAAAGTTCAGTATTTTTAATAAGTAGGTAAATATCATTAAATTAAGGAAAAACTATTCAATAATTCTTCTGAGCAATTCTCATTGCTTCGCTGTAATTAGATAACGTATAACATCAGAGTTTTATCTAATGAAACAAAGAATATTCCTGTAAATTCAGTGAGATCAGTTTACCACAAAATAACTATGTATTAATACAAGCTGTCTCATTAAACAGTAATTCGTATAACATTCGATTGACGCGTGTAAATATCGGTTATCAATGGATCTCGTTATGACTCTTTTATCAGTCTTAACTGTTTTGCAGCCTTTCGTCTCGCTTTCTACCCTTCATAAAATTAAATTAACTCGTTTCTAAATACTCGTATGATTAGACTTAGGTGTGTAATGGGTACTACAAACAAATAATAAATGTGTCTCCTCTTAAATAAATTTGTTTCCTGGTAAATAGAACAAGAGCTTGAAATTGCTGAAATAAAAATCATTTGATCCACGAGGATAGACCAGTGTAGGGTATTTTCCTCTTGGTGAGATGAATTTGGGTCAGATGAAAGTGTACCTTCTGCTTTCTCTTTTTGAACTAAGTTATGTTATTATCCATTCAAATGTAACATTAGTACAGAATGAAACTTAATTAATTCGGTTCAGTTTCACATAGGGTACATAAAGCTGTTGAAAGAAAAATAAATACTCATTTAGAGAGTATATCAAAACTTAAATTTCTCGATGCTTTTGAGAAAAAAAAGGCGTAAGAAGTTTTACTTTTTCATGTTGCTGTATTGTAGCAAATGAAATAAGTAAACCCTGAAACATCCGCATATATAAGGAGGACGGCTCCAATTTCATTTGGTGACAACGTTAAGAGACAATAATGCTAATCGAGTTTATCTTTGCAGCTGAAATTCAAGGAATTTACATGGTTATTTTAGTACTTATATATCTAATATAGAGGGAGATTCTATTACATCCATTTCAAATGTGTGAAATGCTGTTAGGCTTGATGACGATTGGATTGTTTCCCCTATTCTTGTTGCCTGACGAATGCGCTGTCACTGTATAGCACTAGCACACAATTGCGATGTGCATACATATTCTAATGTTTTCATTTATAACAATGATTCAATCACTGTTTTTTGACGTACTGGCTAAAACAATACCCCAGTCTGTTTTAAAACGCTCGGCGAGTGTATTCTAACAGTTCAACCGGAATATTATTTGTCGCTTCGACTGTTTTTCCATGAAGCTCATCTAAATTACTGGCACGTTCGTATTTGAGCCGATAAATCTATTCGGTGATGTATCACCAAAGGAAAAAAATAATTTGGAAGGAAATCGAGAGATC